CAGCTTGTCAGCGTGCAGCGGCATCGCCATTCTCCATGAAAATGTGTACATGTGAACAACGCATCTTCGGCACTCTCCACCGCCAAACTTTCCATAAATGGAAGTTTAGCCCAAGGGGGGCTGAAGGTGAACGGGCTATAGTGTCCCTGAAAGCACCAGGGCCGGTTGCTCCCTGGTGTCTTTGAACACACCACAGCTTGCTGCTCTGTGGTGTCCTTGAATACTCCACTGTCTGTTGATCCGTGGTGTCCTTGAACGTACCACAGCTCGCTGCTCCAATGACAGCAACAACGTGCAACAGTGTCACCGTGAGCATGTCGTCAGTGGAGCAGTCAATATCAACACAGCTACCGAGTGATGCTGAGTCAGGACAGGGCATCCTCCTCTCCACTGCAGCGAGCTGCTGCTCGGAGAATGAGCCGCTGTTCACTGTGATAAAGTTCCATGCGCCGCACCACTGGAAGAGACCTGTTGTCTGGTTGCATCTCTCCGGCTATATCTGATCTAGATTGGCGTTAGCTCAACTCATGCCGTCGCAGCTAGTCAGCTGGTTCGGTTGAGAATATGTTGACAATGTGTTTGTGTGTTTTAGGAACACACACACTGTCAGTGAGCTAGCGGTGTTCCCGTGTCGTGAGTGCATTGCATTGTGTCACTGTTGTTGTGAACTCAACCAGACGCACTTCAAAGAAGGTCAGATGGTGTCAAAAGAGGGAGGGAAGTTTCCCTCCCCGAGAGCTGACCTTTTCACATGTAAAAACCAGAGACATCGCCTGGTGTTTGGTAAGGACCGAAAGAGACTCAATCAGACAATGAATCACTTAAGGATTGTGTATTCAAAGAGCCTTAGTGAACCTTTCTAACCGTAAAGGTGTCACTAAAGACAGTCCACAGGACAGGAAAGGGGGCGATCTGACCCCTTCTCCCTCCCGCAGGTCACCTCCAGCCTCAACCTGACTCTTTTCTCTCCACAGAACGGCTGAGCCATAAACCACCATTTCATTCTCTGATAGCCGATGCGATAAGCCAGGAATGCATAGAGACCATAAAACCATCTGTTTCTCGAACCAAGCAAGGTTCCATTATAACTGTGTTTATTCTGTTTAAATAATAACCTTGCTAAGTGAGCAGCGGTGTTTGCCTCTGAGTTTAGTAAGTAATGACCCTGTTCTTATCCTTTTGTGATGTCTGAAGACTAGCAGACCCATAAGAAAGTAATCTTGAACTGGTTTTCTAACCTCTTTCTGTTGTGTCTTAATTCATCCCTGTTACTCCCTAGTAATCACTGTCTGTTCAGTATTAACTAATGCTTTAGTTAAATGTTTCATATACAATTTCCTACTAAATTATCCATTGAAACGCTCGTGTGCATCACCAGCCTCTCAGTTAAAGTGGAGTGTCTACTCTTTTCTTGTGTGACCCGAGCGCCACCAAGGGGACAAGAAAGGTATAACACGCAAGTGTTTAAAACTCGGCTTACACTGACAGGATCGCTACCTATCACCATGTAATTGCATAAAAGAAATTTCGCTGTCACGCTTACATCTAAATTGTCTCGTGAGTTAAAACCAGTAACCAGCAAGTATACTGAGAACAGGTAATTAAGCTTTGTTATGTTTTATATAACCATTATAACCTTTTTCCATAGTGTTTAGCCTTGTTTTAACTGTCTTTATCCGAATGTTTAGAACTAAGTATTTTCCAAATGTCGATATTGTGGAGAGAGAGATTAAAGGGAAATACGCGCAACGTATATTTCTTCATCCCAAAAAGTTAACACCTTAGCAACGTCCGGGAGACCATCCCCAAAATTGACGTCACACTACTTAGCGGGATCAATAAAATGGCCCTGCTGTCTTTTGTTTGGGCTCTTCTCTTCTCTTCAAAAAAAAACAAACTCTTCTCTTTTAAAACTTTCTTGAAACTAAATGTATACGCTCTCTTAACTTCATTTACTTTTTGAAATTCCGATATTTTACATTTCGTATTTAAATCTCCTTCAGACGAGCTGAGAAAGTTGCGACCCTGAATTCCAATTTTCTTAGCGGGAGATTTGATTTTTTTATTTTGTTTGGAGCTGCCTGCTTAATCTCAGCAACATTAAATAGCCTATATATATATGGCCTATATATAGCGAGGCCTCGCGAACCTACGGCGATTGTGTGAGTTTATTTGATTTTGTTGTTCTAACCTCATCCGACCGTTGTGAGCAACTTTGGACCAGAAACTCAGAAGCCTTCATTTATGGCCTTGAATAAATGAAACCACGGCTCTGACGACAGAACCCTGAGTGGGCTCCGCTATAGCGACACCAAACGAACTGAGATCAGAGTAAAAGCCTTGGCTGACGGCCGTTGCTGCAAGCGCTTCCCACAAGAGGACTCCGGACCCAATCCACCGGTTTCGAACCCAACTCGAAAACGCCACTGGAGTCGGGCCAGAACCGACTCCCCAAGCCAACCGGCAGTCGAGCCTCGCTATGGGACCTGCGGCAACGGTAGGGCAAAACAAACCACACTCTGTGACTCGTTGGTGTTCTCTAGTGGCTCCATCCACAGTTAATAACCCTTAGATTAGTCAAACTAAATCTGCAACCTAATTTTGGTCATTCGTTCCCTCATACTCGTAGAATTCTCTCCCTCTACAATATAAACTGAAATTCAATCGAACCTTACATAGGCTACCCTGTTTTATTACCTCCTGGTTGTCGTATTAACTGTTACCCTGTAATATCACCACATTTACCCACTATTAATAATAATAATAATAAATTCACCTTGAGCACAGCGATGTATGTGTGTGTGTTATTAAGAATCTAGAGTCCCTATACATAGAACTGAGACTGACTGATTGACCTTACGATTTCAGAATAACTGAACCAGTAACAACTAATGAATTACCAGAAATTCGTGTAATTCTCAGGCTATACTCAAGGACCTAAAACCTTGGGTGGACAAGCAAATCTTTAGGTGGTGCTCCTAATTTCGAGGCATAAATTAATATTCCCAGAAATATTAATTTTCATAACTGTATTAAAATTTTACGTAGCCGAGGTCTGCTACACCGTCATGGCAGCAGCCCTTCATTCGGCTGCCAGGCGATGTAGGCAACCCGTTAAGCGGGCTGGACAGATGGCTAGCAAGGACGAAGCCCATGTCCTACTACTGTCTCGCTCAGATGCCACCAGGAGAGCGACGTGGGACATGGGCTTCTGTCCCAGTGGTTTGACTAGCACAGCAAAGACCTGGGCCCTCCCACTGTCTCTCTCGAGCAAGGAGAGCAGTGTGGGCCGTAGGTCGGATCATCATCGGTGAACGTGCAGTTTTGTGGAGACTGAAGCGTGTTATGCACCGAGCCGAAGATGGAGGCGGTTCGGTGGGGAGGAGAATGCTCTTTAGGAATATACTGTATTTAATCACTTGAACATTCACAGCATTTTCAGGGTGTACACAGTAGCATATGAAACACAAATAAATGCATGCTGGACACATAACAGAGGGAGGAGGTCTGGTGGTGTGCATCAGCCTCTGTCCCTCTGTCACCCTTTTGTTTTAGTTTTTTAGTTTTTTTTAAATAAATAATAAGGCTTAGACTTTTTCCAAGGGCGGCAATCGAAAAGGCCTTGAACGCACCACGGCCGGAGTTGAAAAAGGCCGACCGGGCCTTGTATTCACCACAGCCGGTGTGACTGTGGTTGACACATCACCCGGTGTTGACGTCAGCCTCAAGCTCGCAGCTTCCATGTGAAGCGGCGGTAGGGTACACAACCTCGCCTGCTGCAACAAGCGCTACGAGCCGCTCGTGGAGGAAACAAAACCAACCGCAGCAGCGAGCGATGTCTTTCGTCCCGCTATACCGAGAGAGACCTGAATTTGGCTGTCGCTCTCCGGCTATAGCTGACTAGCCTAGCTGCGATGTGACCGCTTGGCAAAAGAGATGTCGGCAGGGTGGCGTGTCTGTTTATGTAACACGCTTTCACTGCCGGGGAGCTAGCAACGCGCCCGTGTGAGTCCTCGTGGGCGTGCTGGGAATGCAGAGTTACAGTAGACTGCTGCATTGCCCAGTTTCCACGGTAAGAACAGCTCGTTTCTCGGCTGTCACATCGTGGAAGTGGACCATTATGGCTGCGCGTACTCGGTGGTCAGGCTAGCTAAGTGGATGCCCGGGCCTCACCCACCCTCTCACTCGGTTCTGACCAGGAGAGCGGCGAACTGTTAGCTTAGCGTCGGTGAGCGCAGTGGCGTGTTCAACTCGGATAGCTCATTGGGATGGGGTTGGTGGTGGGGAATTAGCACTTTTAAGAATGTAATGTGTTTCTAATAAACAGTTTAACATTCATAAGCATCACCACAGTGTACACACAAGCAGCACATGTTAGAACAGTTGCTTCGTGAACACAAGGCTGCAGGGCGAACCCTTAGCCTCACCCCAGGAGTTAACGTTAGCTCTTTGATGAGAGAAGTTAACTTAGCTCTTTCCCTCCATAACGGTCACTTGGCCAGTGGCTCCCTTCCCCAGCCGCAGGTCATGGGTCACCTCGCCCGGTGCAAAGATAATTTTCTAGAAGTGGCGACTCCATCCGTGGAGGTGGTGAATTCAGTGAGCAGTTCGCCGTTTGCTGATGAGAAAAGGATGCTGAGGCAGTAGGGACACTGCTATTTATACGTCACGCATGTATCGGTAGTGACGTCCTATTTGTCAGCTATGTGCACGATAAAATTGTGTGTGTGATTGGAGGAGGTAGTACCCATAGAGTCCAGTAGAGGGCGGAGCCTGTGTGAGATAGAACTTCATGTAGCTGATTTAAGTCTCATGTTTCAGTATTTCTTCAGGATATCTGATGTATTGATTTTTTTGGTGTAATGATATATATTTTTTGCTTTAAATGCTACATAAGTGATGAATAATCCACTTATTTCAAATCAATTTACAAAGCTATGCAGTTTCTTAAAACTTTTAGACTTTTGTTTTGTATTGTCTTGCATTAAATTAAACTACACCTGTGATGTTACTTATTTCTCCCTCTGCACATCTTAAACAGTCATAGCAGCAAACAGGCTTTCCTTTCTGGAGAACCTTGCGAGTTCCTGGGGGACATTTCTTACTGCAAACTGACAAAGGCACCTGCATGAACAAAACAAATATGAGAAAAATGAATGGGCATTTACTTTAACAAGGTGTTGTCTTTACACGCTTCTAGTATTAAATTTGATGCATCACAAGAAACCATTATGATTACCTAGTAACATTAACTAATAACTTATACAAATGTAACAATTCAAATTGATTGTCATTAACAGTAATCACTTGGTAGCTTACCTGTTTTGAATTCTTTGCCCAAATTAAAGACTTATTTTGCAGATTTAGTTGTTTGTCGTCATGTAAAGATGCATCATAAAGGCCGACTGTGACAAAGTCCACAATGCCATTTTCTGTTGGCTGCCAGTTTATAATTTCATACTTTGCAGCTGGGTCTCCATTCTCATTAAAGTAAACCTCATCTCCTTCCTTTGTTTTGAACTGAATCTTTCTTATGTGCTGTAATATCTAAGAAGATATGCATTATCTCACAAACATTTTGTAGACGTGTTGTCTCAGCAGGTTGATAGAAAGGCTACAAGATTTGTATTTTCAAAATGTAAACAATTTTCTTTCTAAATGTGACATAATGTAAAAACATTCAAGCCTTTGGTGTTCAACTCACCATGAATGGATCTAGCTGCACCTTGTTGCTGCATGTTTTATTACAGTTGAGAATATTATGAAGTGCGTGGGCAACAGCATACACTCCTTTATAGACATTGTTAAAGATAGGCATGAGTGACATATAAGTGAAGCTGTTTTGCACTCCAGTCAGATCTTCATGTCCAGTACATTCTCTCTGATTCCCTGACTGGTTGAACTTGCAGCTAAATAATTCCTCCCAAAATTCTGTAAACATTTCATTGCTGGATGAATTGAGTGGCTTCACATCCAACATGAACTCTCTCATGCCACTGACATGTGCTTTGGGGATGGACAGGCCTATGGCACCATCGAGGATGTGATGCCTATCCATGGCTGCAGTCTGGGAATCAAAGATCCATGCCTCAGTGCCTACCCACTGGTACCCAGTCAAGTTGTGGGAAGACAACTCCTGTATAAGCACATCCATATCAATGTGGGAGAGGAAAGCAACAATCACTTTGGAAGTGGAAGACTTGATAATGTCAACTATCCTTTGTATTTTGTGTGGCGGATCTGTTCTAAAGAAAGATACAGAGTATTCTAGACAGATGCCCAGCTGCTGGGCAGTTTCTGTAAATGTGGCCATGCCGTTATTGCCATAATCATCATTTGTTCTAATAGCTCCAACCCAAGTCCAACCAAAGTGCTTGACCACCTGGGCCAGGGCTCTGCTCTGGTAGTAGTCGCTAGGTATTGTTCTGAGGAAGGATGGATATTTGGTTTTATCACTGAGGCAAGCACAAGTAGCAAAGTGGCTGATCTAAAAGATCGAAGAGATAACATCACAAGATAAGTATGTAAAATATAAAACATTTCCACAGCACACTAAGATTATTTAAAACACCCTTTCCTAATTATGTAAGTATTTAACTAATACAATTCTATTTTTACCAATTTTAACCCACCAGTGGGATGTGAAAGGGTCCGATGACAGTAGCTATAGCCATGCAAGGAGAGGAAGATGTCTCGCCCATAATGGCCTGCACTTGGGCAGGTCTGGTACATGGTGCCTCAGAGGATGCAGACACCACTTCATTACCATTAGCCAAGGCCAGTGCAACCCTCACACCTCTGGCAACGGAGCTGCAGGCATCATAGATCTTATAGCCCAGAGAAATGCCAGGCAGTAGGTCTGTGCTATTATTAATCTCCTCTATGGCAAAGAGCATAGCCTGGGCATACTGGAACCCTCTGAAATTCAAACTTGATGTGGAAAGATAGAAATAGTTGGAATTACAAATAATTTCTCCTTGAAACAGAAAAATACCAAAGTAAATGTAAGCATAATGGTATTAATAAACACAACATGGAACATTTCTTATTTTACTTAGTTTGTTTTTGATTTTGTTCTCTACCTATTTTTATATCTGTACCCACTATTTCTGAGGCATGTTAAATGTAAAAAGATTTATGTGGTATAATTTACCTGATGCATTGCAGTGGCAGTGGTTTGTGCATGTAGGTATCCTGTCTGTCTTTCCAACTGTTGTAGAAAGAGAATATTCCCCCCAACATAATGTCCCCATTCTTAAATAGCTGGGGGTTTTCAGGATCCCCTCGTCGTCTGCACACTCGCTCCTCAGCCTGAGAGACAGACACCAACAACAACAGCTGTAAGAGTGCCCAACCCTGCTCTGGCCATCTCTGTGTGGACGTCATACTGTCGAAGAAAGCTAAACCACTGGGTGGCATTATACGAACCTCAATGAAGATCAAAAGCTTGCACTGGCATTTATACATTTTGGAGTAGCATAAAAAATAACAATAGAACAGTGAGCAGAACAGTGATGTTTTATCTCTGTGGACCTGCAAGGTGGGGCGAGGGGAGGGAGGTGCACAATCAGAAAAATAATTTTAAAAATTCAATTGCACTGTAGTAAATGTTTCCCCTCTTTAAAATAATATTTTAACATGATGGAGGCACAATTTGTAATGGAATTTAAACACTGAAATATAATGCAGGATGAGGGGTGATAAAAAGTTTGGAAAATTAGACTTATAAGGCTCAATGAAATGCCCCACACCATATAGTCTTGTTAGAATGCATTAACTAATCTATTTTGTTTTGCTGGCCATTTGGGGGCAGTGCAACATCCTGTAAACACAACAATAGATCATATTTGTATAGACATGAAAAACGATAACAGAAGACCTTAAATAAAAATAAATAAAGGTACGAAACCCCACAGAATTCCTATGCCTGTATTTTTAGATAATGTGGTGTATAACATATGTGCATTTGACCATTACAGTTTAAAATAACACTCTTGCAGCTGGATAGAGGCTCAGTGAACTCTTAAGGGGGAGTAATGATTGATGGGTGTGTAAAGAGTGAACCCTCCTATGGAATTTGACCTCTGATCCAGTGTTAGGGGGAGTAGTGATTAGTGTTTATGAAGGGACTGAACCCTTCTATGGTGTCTAACAGATGTTTACACTTATCCTACAGCACTGTGGCCTTATATGGATTGGAGCTTTAGATTGCAGACTCAAACCCTTATATGGTATTTAGCAGATACCTAAACATGTCCTATATAAGCTGTGTTTGATGTACAGAGAGACAGAGTGGTCATCGGGCTGGGTCACTCTCCAAGCTGCTGCAGAGCTTGTAATTGATGCTGAACTCCTTGATGTAATAAACTTTTATGATCAAGAACAGTGTCAAGCGGATTTCTTCTCAACACATCATCGCAGCATTATTGTTCGGACACCACAATAATCTGAACTAAAGGTCTTACATTAGCCTTAGTTAGCCGCGCTGGTATTAACAATGCTAACACTGTACTGGCTAACATGCTAGCATTACAACTTTCACAAACTGCATAAAATTGGTATAGTTTTTGGTATTACCATAGTATAGGATTAAATCATAATATTAAAGTCAGTTGATTAAGTTAATATTGTTTTTAGGACATGGGTCTTCTTCAATTTAAGCTGTTATCTTTTATCTATCTAACATCATCTATGGTGCTGTAAACCTGGTGTTATAAAGCATTTAACAGAACAAAACCAGATAGGCCAGGTTTAAAACATTAACTTACTCTTAACAACCCCTTTCCAGGAGCACTTTAAAGAACATAGATGGAAGATGGTCACAGGTGTAAGTAAACATAGCTCCTACTGTTGGTGAGTATAAATGTGGCGTAAAGTTACAATGATAACCTTCTGCATTTTAAAAATTAAGTCAAAGTAGAATTAATTTCTTTATTTCACTGCGGGTTCATTGATCAGCTCCACTCTTAGTGCAGAACATGGTCAAGTCAGCCAAGAAACTGACACTGCTGGTTAGTTATGTGTTTTAGTTAAACCTATAGAGATGGCGTGTTCTTTGCTTATAAATCAGATATGTCATGTAGGGACTGTGCAGTAGCTGTATTTAAGGACTGATTGTGGAGCAACATTATGGAGCCTCCTCCAAAGCTGTGTGAGAAGGGTACATGATGCTCTCTTTATATCTTATGTAACTTGTGTTGCAATACTTTGTTGAAGTTGTGTTGACACAAACACATACATGGTGATTCAATCATCCACACCCAATCACAAGCACACACATGCATATCACTAATCACACGGACACACAGACACCACTCTGGGTGCAGTTACCTCTATAAATTGTCAGGCTGCATAGGAAGAGACAGACTCCTCTGCTTACTGCTTCAGAGTAGACTCTGTGTTGGTATCATGTATCATGATACATATCTGGAGACTCCTGGTCTCCAGATATGTATCTGCAATTGCTTTTGGTTTGGTCTCAAAACTTAAGGCACTGTCTCATCTGATCTCTTCTCATCAACGGACCCGGTGAAGTCGGCGTACTTCAACAGCTGCCAGTGTTGAAAATACATCCAATCTTAAGTCACTTTTTAGCACAGCATCAAACTCTTGTGTCTTGTATTATAAGATCCTCCAGATCTAAGCTAAGAACACAAGTAATTTCAATTCAATTTTACACGTTTTTATTATTTCATAGTAGGTCCATCATCCTCCACCTCTACATCCATCATCGGTATCAGCCAAGAAGCTGACAATGCTGGTAAGTTAAGCCTTCATCAACAGAAAATTAACAGTTATTCACCTCTAGGAACACCCAACGTATGAACATATCAACTTACTAAAATTACTTATTTAATGTGTTCATCTTTCTCATAGGTCTACCTGTGCCTACTGAAGTGGTGAGCAGCACCATCATGTTACCATCACATCCGGCTCTACTCCTTTTTCTACTCCTCCAGTGGATCCAGCTGACTGGCCATCAGTCCTTAATGAGCAATTACACGTTGATGTGGTGAGCAGGGAACCAACACAGGTTGACAGAAACATTTTCACATTTACAAAAAGACACTCAGACAGTAAAAGTCTTTTCTATCATTACATGTTTGGATCATTCATAAAGAAGCTGGTTGACATATTCAAAGAAAAAATTATGCTATCAACTGTATTGTAGTTTTTGTCTCTTAAACTCTTGTTTGGCTGTTATTAAAGATTTGACCTTTGATCAGTCATAATCACTTCACTATCAGTCTTTTTATTCAGTACAAAGTTCATCAGTGTCTATTGGGTCTTGCACTGCCATTAAGCTCAGTAGCTCCTGTTTGACATCAAACATAGCAGATATATATTAATATAGAGTATAGTCTAGTTATTATTTTTTATTAGAAGCAGCTTTATTGCCAAGTAGGTTTAAGCAATTGGCTTTTGTGTTTTTGTGCTAAACAAACATGGCAGGTTTAAGAATATAAGACAGATTTGACGGGTCTTTAATAAACAAGAGATGTTGTTTCTGTGTCATATATAGTGACAACGCCCGACTGTCAGAGGGGCCAACTAAATTTCTATTAGGGCCCCCGAAGGTCTAGGGCCGGCTCTGCATGTAAGCAAGTACATGTGTTAGCTTATTTACACTTCAAGCTGACACAGAGCAATATTAGCATTGATTTGGAGTCATGTTTGTATCCACGAGCGGAGAGCAACGTGATGCAGCGGCTCACATCAGGGGTAAGAAAACATTTAACTTTATTGTTATAAAATAAACAACTAACCCGTATTTAAATATTAGTCTATTGTCTCCCAGTGTACTTGTCTCAAAGTTTCTCTGGTGTTTCCCCATAAGCCCTTTGGGTTTCAAAAATAAAGTGCTATGTAATCCATCACTATTGTTCTTACTTTTTTATTATTGTTTACTGATTACAACAACTACAGCTCTACTTCAGCCATCGGCTCATCTGTGTTATGTACATTGACCTGATGTGTAATGTGGACACAGGAATCCTGTTCAATAAAAATATCTGATCATGTTGATGAATGTTCTTTCCAATTACACAGATCTTTCCCATTTGGGGTTCTAACAACTATATATTCCTTTACACACCAGAATGTGAGGACTGTGGACAACATCCAAACAACTGTGTTTCCATGCACCACACATGGCTGATCTTCCAGACCCAGGACAGAGTAACAGACAGTTCAGTCAGGCAGCATACAGACAGTTTGTAGTGTGGCAGTGTGGAGCACTTAGACACAGAATCGTGATACTGAGTTGCTGTTTCTGTAAGATATGCAACTGTTCTCCTGATCCTAGTACAAAGGTTTAATCCTAGCAGGGTGTAAGATGTAATGTCACTAACTGCTACACAACTAATTCCATCCACTGTGTGGATAAATACCTGTACATTGTTAGTTTTATTCCCAGGAGAGTAGAGAAAATAAAAAGTATATTTTTCCCTGTTCTGGATAATATTTTCATTCTTTTTTAAATAAAACATTGAAAATGAAAGATGCCTTTTCTTTACAATTGCAGCATAAACAATCAAGCTGCATGTATGTCTTATGTCTCCAATAATGACAACCAAATGTGGTAAAACACTTGTTTATTGTTATTATATACCACTAAAACTACAACCTATATCACAAATAGATCATTTTAAACATTAAAAATAAGTATATATAGGAATCGACAAGGTGTGTCCAGAGGTGTCCTGACTGATTATGAAGACAGTTCAGACTTTGCATGTAGCATCAAATCGCTAGTGTGGAGATGGTTAAATGTATCACAATGACCTCTCTGACATGATTACCACATTTCAAAACCAACCATATTACTTTTTGATTTATATTATCTGTATCTAGCAACACAGTTGGAGCAGGGACACCTAACAGAACCCCATGTTGACGGGGATCATCAGGTCTCCTGGTTCTGCTTCTAGGCATCTCCTCAGTAGTAGACAACTGTCGGAGGAGGAGGATGGCACTCTGGAGGTCTGCGATGCCACCTTCAATGAGTACAAGCTCCACTTCCTGGACCTTTTGTTGTACACCTTGCTGTACCTGATAATACAGAAAGGAGGATCAGCTTAGTGAAAAGTTTGTAATACCTGACATTATTCTCTTATACAGTAATTAGCATTTCCACATAAGATGCAATCAAAACAATAAATCAGCACCATCTATCTGTCTCATCACTTATAAATGTATTGAGTAAAATGCATAGGAGTACTCATAATGCAACATACTGAACTGTGTCATTAGCTCTTCTCCTGGCTGGACTGTGGACATGGTGGTTGTAATCCAGGCCAGCCAGCACGGTCCGATCAGCGTATACTGGTGAGAAGTACCCTTGGTGTTCCTCAGTTGTCACTGTCGTTGAAAAGCCACTCAGATATTACCTCCGGTCTGACCACTTCGCTCGTCAGGTCTCAGAGAGCTGACCGGTTGCGCGCACGGGGGAAGCTCCTGTAGCAGCACGGCTGGTAGCCATGGCAGCCAATCATTGCATTCGGTCCGAATGGAACGAATGGCTGTGTTTACTGCAGCCCTGAGAGGACTTCAACCAGCCGATTTTTAAACTCTCTTTTTCAAAGCACCTAACTTTTTAATATGCATTGGTGTATATAGACAGTTTCAACAAATATGACAAAAAGTGTTTTAGAAGCAACTTGCCTACCCTGCCTTTAAATACTGTACAATGCACATAAACCATGTAAAATATACACGCCATGCAATATGTATCCTACTTGTCGCATTTTTGTGCTTCTGGAATTGTCTGAAATGTGTTGATTACATAATCTTGCCCTGTGCAAAGTGAAGAAATGCCTCCAATAACAAGTTTGCCAGCTTGGGCCAGGTCAGCTGGTTGTGCTGAGCCTTGCACTCTACACTGAGGCTCACTTTCCCAATAGCAGAAGCGAGAGGAGGTGCCTAAAGAGTGGCATAGTTATGCTTTTCAAACCAGGCCAATCAACTCTACAGCTAATAGCAGGGCTTTATAGATGTTGAACAAGAAGGGGGAAGTTGTCATGGTTGAATTCAAGCCTCAAGAGATCAAAGGAAGCCAAACAAGTTAAGCCAACAACATTTTTGTCTGTGAAACTGTGGATTTTATTCTTTGTTTACAATTTTATAAACTGTATTAAATGTTGGGAAATCAGTAAAGAACTGGTAATAGACTTGTGCAATTATTTCTGCTTAAGAACTGTATATTATGTTGTAATAAATGTTCAACATGCTATGTCACAAAATATATGATACACAGCGGAAAAACACTACAGCACTACAATGCAAGTCTTCAATAAACTAAACATATATGTCTACTTGACTGGTTAACAAACAAAGTTTACGATGGTAATCCTAGTAGTGTTAGCACAAGCAGAGCCCTCTACTGGTCTCTATGGGTATTACCTCTCCTCATATCACACCCACTGAAATTTGCATAGTGAATGTAGCCGACCAATGGGGTGCTGCTACCGATTCAGGGAACCGTATAAATAGCATAAATTGTCAGAACCCAAACTTCATTCGTTCTATGGGTACAGTGGGTGGATCCGACCACTGTCCGCACAGCCGTGACAAGCCACAGTCCAACCCACCAACACGATTGGCTACAGGCAATAAGACAAGGTCACTAAACTGTGGGCCACCCGGTTCACAAGACTGATGGGGGTTTGTCAGGACCAAAGAAGAATTTAATCCAATCAAAGACTGTCCTGGCCCCAGGGATGACTAGTACAGACAGTGCACAGAGCCCCACCCCAACACCCAGTAACCTATAGCAGTTACCATTGTGTCTCAGTCACAAAGCCAGCCAGCCGGGCATTTCTTGGACAGGGCCTTACCAATCACACTGTCACAGAAACAGATGAACAGCTGATCGGTGGGTTAGATGGGGGCCGTGCGGTTAATGTATTGTGTTAGGGAACGCACCGGACACAACACATGCAGTCTCACCGCTCTGGACTCTGTGTGGGTTGGCGGACAGAAGGCATTCCAATTTATGGTCCTTGACCTGAAAGAGATCCTTGTGTCCTTAGGGATAAAGGAGGGCCACACTGTGGTTTCTCATAAGGGGTAGACCCTAGAGCCTTGAACACTAGGCTCTAACAAATCCACCTGGGGTGCGTATAAAACTGGTCTATGCTGCCTAACGCCATGCAGAAAATTATTTGCGAGGGGAAGATCTGTCTGTGGTGAACAGCGAATAGGAAAAGCAATAGGAAAGCGCCTGGAGCTCGAGCTGGTTGATGTGTTGGCTCTCTCCGGGGACCCAGACACCACCTACCACCTTCCCCAGGCAGGTCCACCCGCATCCGGTCAGAGAAGCGTGTGGGAAAAGGCCCAGCTTTTTGACCTGGCCATGACAATGAGGTCGTCTAAATAGGAGAAGACCCTCATGCCCTGTTCCCGCAGAGGCCCCTTTTCCACATCCACTGGCTCTTGTGGAAACGATCACCACAGGAACAGCCGTTATCAGTGCGGAATGTTGACTCATAGCAGCCTCTCGCTCTTTCCTAGGTAGCTCGACGCACCCCACCACCATAGCCATGACTGTAGGGGAAGACAGTGGACGCTTGCAATCTGCTGAAGAGAAAAAGATGCTATTTATACGGTTAGCACATATAGGTAGTGGTGTCCCATTGGTTGGCTACTTTCACTATGCACATTTCAGTGGGCGAGTACATGCGTGAAATAAGAGAAGTAATACTCATAGAGTCCAGTAGAGGGCGGAGCCTGTGTGAGATAGAACTGCTATGTCAAAATTTTAATGGCAGTAGAATGGATTTGTCAACATAGTATTTTATATATTAAGTTTCAGAATGACTTTGTTGTCCCCTTTCCCATTATATTCTTTTTTGTGTTATTTTCTGGTTTCAGCAAGATAACATAACATTTTGGAATAAAAATACTAATGAGCAGTCCAAAACTTGAAGCCAGAATAGCAAATATCTCCACAGCAACACTGAACTTCCCAGGAGAGCTGACATACGCTGGGATAAAAGTGATCCATACTGCGCAGAATATCAGCATGCTGAAGGTGATAAATTTGGCTTCATTGAAATTATCAGGCAGTTTTCGAGCCAAAAAAGCAAGAATAAAACATAAAATGGCCAGAAGTCCTATGTAACCAAGTACAGCCCAAAAACCCACAGCTGTGCCAAGAGCACACTCTAAGATGATTTTGTCCTTAAACCCCTTAAAATTCTTAAATGGTAAAGGAGGAGAAATTGTTAACCAGAGTATGCATATAATGACTTGTATGAGAGTGAAACCCAGAACACTGAGCTTCTGCTGTGCAGGACCAAACCATTTCATCACATTACTACCTGGAAGTGTGGCCCTGAAAGCCATTAGCACCACTATTGTTTTCCCCAGAACACAAGAGATACAGAGGACAAAGGTGATGCCGAATGCTGTGTGTCGCAGCATGCAGGACCACTCAGAGGGCCGACCGATGAAGGTCAGAGAACACAGGAAACACAGGGTCAAGGAGAAGAGCAGCAGGAAGCTCAGCTCAGAGTTGTTGGCCCTAACAATAGGAGTCTGCCTGTATCTGAAGAAAATAATTGCCACAACAACAGTCATGCATGTTCCAAATAAGGAGGCTGCAGTTAGCAGTGCTCCCATAATCTCTTCATATGATAGAAACTCTGCCTCCTTCTTTACACAGGCATCTCTTCTCTCATTTGACCAGAACTCAGGTTGGCATCGCACACATGTGATAGAATCTGAAAAGTAATATTGAAGCAGGTGTTAGAATAACTCACTACATTTGTCTCTTCTTTGTGACGCTATTTTATTGTCTGTGCCTACAAGCAAACAACACATGTTTAATAGACAATAAATTAATAACTTTATGGCAACTACATTGTATCATCATGACTGATCTGGATCTTAAATGGACAGGATACAGTATAAAGAGATATAATTCATAAATTTTTGGTCATTTGTTTTATTCCTTAATAACTAAGCATTACTATAATATAGTGAAGCAATTTGTGACCTTGGTCTGTGAAAGGTGGGTATACTAATTATATGTTACTCACTTACAGTATATACATTATATTATTTATTGAAAGGTTTCATGCTGTTTTCAGATGTCAATGTGTCAAACACAATTTCATTCACTCTCAATTCCTTTATTGCTGTTTCAGAGACAGCAAGACCTCAGCAGATAAAAACAAAATTCTCTAAGTGATCAGATACCACAGGGAGGATATGAGTAAACACTGTAGGTCTTTTTTTTATTTGAGTGAGCTGCCCTTTAATGTCCTTTTTAGAGATGGTTTTCCTTTTAACATTATAGTTACAATATAAATTTAAGAAAGCAATTCATAATTGACCTTAAAATTAAACATGTCTGCCCTAATGAGTCATCGTGGTTGTACCAAATAATACATTGCTGTTGACAATGCATGCCCCAATCCCTCCCTTCTCCTTCCATGGATGTGGGGCTTTAACCTTGATATGCATTTCCCAGATTGTCCATGAATGTGTGTAGCTGATTTCAGTCTCATGTATCAGTATTTCTTTAGGGTATTTGATGTATTGATTTTTTTGATGTGATGATATATATTTTTGGTTTGCTGAAGTTATGCATAATCCGTATATTTAGAATCAGTTTACAAAACTATGCAGTTTCTTAAAATTAGCATGTGAACATGACAACTTTTATTCTTTTGTTTTGTCTTGCATTAAATATTACTACACCTGTGATGTTACTTATTTCTCCCTCTGCACATCTTAAGCAGTCATAACAGCAAACAGGCTTTCCTTTCTGGAGAACCTTACGAGTTCCTGGGGGACACTTCTCACTGCAAACTGACAAAGGTACCTGCATGATCAAAAAGAACATGAGGTCTTGTCTTTACACTCATCTATTATTCAGTTTAATCCACCACAACCAAGTATTATAATTATCTAGCAACATTATCTAAAAATAAATGTAACAATTCAAATTGATTGTTATTAACAGTAATTACATGGTAGCTTACCTGTTTTGAGTTCTTTGCCCAAATTAAAGACTTATTTTGCAGATTCAATTGTTTGTCGGCAGGTAAGGATGCATGATAAAGACCGACCGAGACAAAGTCTACAGTGCCATTTTTTGTTGGCTGCCAGTTTATAATTTCATACTTTGCAGCTGGGTCTCCATTCTCATTAAAGTAAACCTCATCCCCTTCCTTTGTTTTGAAATGAATCTTTCTTATATGCTGTAAAATCTGTAAAAATGACAAATATGATGATCAACAGGATGATAGACAGACTGCAAGATTTGTATTATCAAAATGTAAACAATGTAAATGTGACTTAATGTGAAAACAATAATTCAAGCATTAGGTATTAACTCACCATGAATGGATCTAGCTGCACCTTGTTGTTGCATGTTTTATTACAGCTGAGAATACTATGAAGTGCGTGGGCAACAGCATACACTCCTTTATAGACATTGTTAAAGATAGGCATAAGTGACATATAAGTGAAGCTGTTTTGCACTCCAGTCAGATCTTCATGTCCAGTACATTCTCTCTGATTCCCTGCTGATGACTTTGACTGCTCGAACTTGCAGCTAAATAATGCCTCCCAAAACTCTGTAAACATTGCATTACTGGATGAATTGAGTGGCTTCACATCCAACATGAACTCTCTCATGCCACTGACATGTGCTTTGGGGATGGACAGGCCTATGGAACCATCCAGAATGTGATGCCTATCCATGGCTGCAGTTAGGGAATCAACGATCCATGCCTCAGTGCCTACCCACTGGTACCCAGTCACGTTGTGGAAAGACAACTCCTGTATTAACACATTCATATCGTGTTGGGAGAGGAAAGCAACAATCACTTTGGAAGTGGAAGACTTGATAATGTCAACTATCTTTAGTATTTTGTGTGGTGGATCTGTTCTAAAGAAAGATACAGAGTATTCTAAACAGATGCCCAGCTGCTGGGCAGTTTCTGTGAATGTGGCCATGCCATTATTCCCGTAATCATCATTTGCTCTAACAGCTCCAACCCAAGTCCAACCAAAGTGCTTGACCAACTGTGCCAGGGCTCTGCTCTGGTAGTAGTCACTGGGTATTGTTCTGAGGAAGGATGGGTACTTGGTTTTATCGCTGAGACAAGCACAAGTAGCAAAGTGGCTGATCTAAAAGACAAATGAGATAACATCACAAGATAAGTATGTACAATATAGAACATTTACACAGCAGAGAAATACTTTTTACCAATTTTACCCACCATTGGGATATGAAAGGGTCCAATGACAGTAGCTATAGCCATGCAAGGAGAGGAAGATGTCTCTCCCATAATGGCCTGCACTTGGGCAGGTCTGGTACATGGTGCCTCGGAGGATGCAGACACCACTTCATTACCATTAGCCAAGGCCAGTGCAACCCTCACACCTCTGGCAACAGAGGTACAGGAATCATAGATCTTATAGCCCAAAGAAATGCCAGGAAGTAAGTCTGTGCTGTTATTAATCTCCTCTATGGCAAAGAGCATAGCCTGGGCATACTGGAACCCTCTGAAATTCAAACTTGATGTGAAAAGATAGAAATAGTTGGAAATAGTTTGTCCTTAAAAGAAAAGTAAATTAAAGCATTTTATGATATTAATACTCACAACATGGAGCATTTCTTATCTTAATACTCGCTTTTTTTTCTTTTTCTTTTTTTTTGCAACAGTTTTTCTATCTTCTATTCTTTCTCTTGGGGATTTTAAATGTAAAAAAGATTTATGTGGTATAATTTACCTGATGCATTGCAGGGGCAGTGGCTTGTGCATGAAGGTATCCTGTCTGTCTTTCCAGCTGCTGTGGAAAGAGAAGATTCCCCCCAACATAATGTCCCCATTCTTAAATAGCTGGGGATTTTCAGGATCCCCTCGTCGTCTGCACACTCGCTCTTCAGCGTGAGAGAGAGACGCCACCAACAACAGCTGTAAGAGTGCCCAACCCTTCACTGGCCATCTCTGTGTGGACGTCATACTGTCGAAGACAGTTAAACCACTGGGTGGCATCATACAAACTTTAACGTAAATCAAAACTTTGCACTGGTATTTATACATTTTGGAGTAGCATGAAAAAATAACAATAATACAGTGATGTTTTATCTATTTGGACCTGCAGGGTGGGGCGAGGGGGAGGGAGGTGCACAAACAGAAAAATAATGTTGGGCCTTGGTCTGTTTTAAAATCATATACGGATATGGTATTAAATAATAAGGTTTTCGCTGTTTACAATAATATTTTTACATTATGGAGGCACAATCTATAACTGCAATTTAAACACTGAAACATAATGCAGGATGAAGGTGATCTAAAGTTGAAAAGATTAGACTTGTAAGGCTCAATGAAACGCCTTAGTCTTAGTTAAAATGCATTAACTAAACTATTTAGTTTTGGGGCCACTTGGGGTCAGTGCAACTGTAAACACATCATTATCACCTTATAAAGTTGACATAGCTGTCAAGTAAGCAAGTAGATGTGTTTATTTACACTTGAATGCAAATCCAATATTCCTTATCCTGGTTGCTCTGTTTTGATCCTCACCAACTCTTTAGTTGCTTATCGCTCTATGTTCACCAGCTAGTTGCTAACTTTGTCTATCTGACATTTGGTGCTAGGGAGGTAGCATACAGTGGGTTTTTGCATTTGTTTAGCTGAGTACAGCATGTTTTTGCTAAGAGCGGTAAAAAGTAGTGTTACTTTTGTCAGATGAAACTAAACGAAATATAAACGTCCACCTTTTTTCCTTGACGAAAACAATACAAAGACGACACAAAGACAATGTCTTTAAACACTGTGACTATATAAACATGCAATATTGTTGACGAAAAATGACGAGACTAAAATGTAAATCATAAAATAAAAACATTAATAAAATCTCTCTTTCTTTTTATCAGTATAATGAGGAGACAATATATTACAGGCCATATTTTCTCCCTCTAAATTTTCACTTGAACAGTGTTCATTCAGTGGTATTTTTTTCTTCCTGTGCTTTGAATGCTGGTCAACCGGGGTGACGCCTGGTGCGTGAGGAAAACGTTACTGTGGAGAATGCAAACTCTGGTGATGCACACAACATGCTAGGGAGAAGAGGTGCTTAGATATCAGCTCCCCTAAAAGCATGATTTGTGATATTTCGGTGGGTCTCTAAAATATTGACAGCTTGCTTTATTGCCATTAATCTCTGTATTTCTCCTTCATCAATGATCATGCGGAGCGTCAGACTTTATCCAGCCAAAGGGAACTATCACCTGACCATCACCTGGGAATTGTGGTAAGTTAATGTTTCCTTTGAAATAAAAATGAGAACAAAGCTAACATTTGAATCATATCTCTATTTTGGTTAGAGCAGATTGACCAAAATGTTAATCGACTCATTATACTTATGAGTTAGAAAAGACTAAAACGATGGTTAATGACTAAAACTAGAGTAAAATACTTTTGATTTTCGTTTGACTAAAATCAGACTAAAAAAAGTAAAACTTGACTAAAAAAATAGTATACAGTGGACTAAATATGACAAAAACTAACAAGGACATTTGACACAGGACTAAGACTAAAACTACATTTTAAAATGGCTGACAAAATTAACACTAAATTTAAACACTAAAGTTACAGGATGTAAAACCAAAATGGAGCAACAGAGACAGGCAGGGGTGGTGAAAGATAGAATGAATATATTGCCATATATTCATGGTAATGTCTTAAAGGAGACCTATTATACTGCTTTCCCAGTGCTATATTGTAGTTCTGTGACTCCTGTATGGCAGCTATGCATGACACAAAGTTCAAAAAACTAATTTTCTGTCTTATACTGGCTCTTCATGTTGGCCTTCATTTCAGCCTGTCTCTGAAACAAGCTGTAGATGCTCCTGTCACTTTAAGGCTCCCCAGCTGAGCGGTACAGGCAGATTGAGCGTTGCTGTGTGGAGCAAATGACCATATATGGAATACCGGCTCCGTCCAGCTCCCTGTGTGGTAGAACGAAGCCCTTGGTAGAAAAAGCAATTCAAAACAGAGCGTTCAGAACAGGAGGAAATCTGAGGTTTTTGCTCATTGGGATTTCTTTTAAATACTTTAACCTTTTATTTGAAGCTTTGGCCATATTTAACATGAACATCCAACATTGTAATATTGCAGAAAAGTCATAAAATGTGGAAAAGCATAATAGATCTCCTTTAAATACAGTACAATGCACATAAACAATTTGAAAAATACATGCCAAGCAAAACGTAGCCTACTTGTTGCATTTTTGTACTTTTGGTATTGTCTGAAATGTGTTGATTACATAATCTTTCCCTGTGAAAATTGACGAAATGCATCCAATAATTAAAGCTGCAAGCAGCGTTGGGCGGGCCCTCACACGTATAACGCGTCGGGGCGTGAGGCTGCTGCGCTGCATATTCTGGAGCTCCGCCGGTGCGGCTGTGAATTTGCTACGCGATTCGGACGCTGCATGAAGGCGTAGAAATGAATATTGGTGTATAGATGTGTTCGGGGCGGGACAGTTATCAAGCACGTAAAGTCTTGTTCAAATCTCAGCACGCCACGGAGACGCCCATTGATGAAAACTCACATATAGCACAATTTTTCATCGTAAATGCCTTTAGAAGGCACAGCAGAAATTTGAAGTTGGTCCGACTAAATCCCTAGGAGGAGTTCGTTAAAGTACAGAGTGTGTAAATCATCCAAAAATTGCCGTAAAATTCAAAATGGCCGACTTCCTGTCGGGTTGAGGGCATCGCTAGATGAGGCTTTTTGGTACGTCTGGACATGATACATGTGCCACAGAAATTTCATACATGTAGGTCAAACGTGCGGCGGGGGCTGCTTCTTTAAATGTCACTTCCTGTTGCCAGCAGGTGGCGCTATGACTGTGGGTGAATGTCGGAATGTACATGTGATGTGACTCTCATCCTACATATACAGTTTGGTGCAGATGTGAGCATGTACACTGAAGTTATAATAACTTCCTGTTTCATGGCGAATAATCGACGCCACGGACACGCCCATTGACGAAAACTCACAGATAGCACAACTTTTCATCGTCAATGCCTTTACAAGGCACAGCAGAAATTTGAAGTCGATCGGACTGAATGCCTAGGAGGAGTTCATTAAAGTATGGAGTGTGTACATCATCCAAATATGACCATAAAATTCAAAATGGCTGACTTCTTGTTGAGTTTAGGGTATGGGTTCTTGAGGCTTTTTTTTGTGTGTCTTGATATGATACATGTCCCCAGAAAATGTCGTGCATGTAGGTTGAACGTGGCCAAGGGGCTAATTTTTTCTTATTTTGTAGGGGGCGCTAGTGAGCCATTTTGCCACGCCCATGCGAGAAACCCACTCAATACGAAGTTTTTCACCACTTCTGACATATGTACCAAGTTTGGTGAGTTTTCGAGTATGTTTAGGCCCCCAAAATAGAGCTTACTTTGCAGAATATATATATATATATATCTTCAGTTTCAATAGGGACCTCGCACGGTTTGTGCTCGGGCCCTAACAAGTTTGTCATCTTGGGCCAGTTCAGCTAGTTTTGCTGAGGCTTGCAACTGAGGCTCACTTTCCGAATAGTAGAAGCGAGAGGAGCTGCCTCAACAATGGCATAGTTCTTTAAACCAGGCCAATCGACTCAACAGCTTATACCAGGAATTTATACATGTTGAACAATAAAGGGTTGTCATGGTTGAATTCAAGCCTCGTGAAATCAAAGGAAGCCAAACAAGTTAAGCCAATGACATTTTTGTCTGTGAAACTGTGGATTTTTAGTCTTTGTTTACAATTTTATAAACTGTATTAAATGTTGTGAAAAGAATAGGCTTGTGCAATTACTTCTTCTTAATTATATATGTATTGGTTGGTATGATGTGGGTGGAACTGTGGTGCAGTGCCTCACAGCAAGAAGGTCGTTGGTTCGAACCCCGGTCGTCCCAGCCTTTCTTTGTGGAGTTTGCATGTTCTCCCCATGTCTGCGTGGGTTCTCTCCGGGTGCTCCGGCTTCCTCCCACCGTCCAAAGACATGCAGACTAGGTTAATTGGTGACTCTCAATTGTCTGTGTGTGGCCCTGCGATGGACTGGCAACCTGTCCAAGGTGTACCCCGCTTTTTGCCCGATTTCAGCTGGGATTGGCTCAAGCCCCCCCGTGACCCTGTACGCAGGATAAGCGGTTGACAATGGATGGATGGTTGGTATGATAGTGTATTATGTTGTAATAAATGCTGGAACACAATAAACATTAAACAGTGGAAAAACACTACAGCATTACAATGCAAGTCTTCAGTAAACTAAACATACATGTCTATTTGACAGTCTGGTTAACAACTACTATGTAAACATTTTAATGGTAGTAGAATGCATTTGCCAGCATATTATTTAAAGTTTCAGAATGACTTTGTTGCCCCCTTTCCCATCATATTCTTTTTTATATTGTTCTGTGGTTTCAGTAAGATAATATAACATTTTGGAATGAAAATACAAATGAGCAGTCCAAAAC